GATTAAAATAAAAAAATTTTTAGCAAATTTGATTAAATAGTTGTTGAGTTATTTAAATTTAAAAATTAAAAAAATTTACTAAAAATGATTTGTTCCTTTTCTACTGACTCACCTCCATATTATTATATCAAACATATTATAATAATATAGGTCATAATAATTGATATTTTATAAACTGAATTTAGTATATATATTAATATAAAAAGTTATAAAAAACTGAAAGATCATATGGTATTTATATAATGGTTATATCTTGTACAGAAGAATACAATCAATACTGAGCAGTTTAAATCTATAATAAGTCTTTATGACTATATAAATTATAGAAACCAGAAAGATAAAAGCTTACTTGAAAAATCCAAATAGAAAGGTAACTTGAACTTTTAATGATGCTATTATAAAAACTAAACCTATGAAATAAAACTAGAATTTGTAAAACTGAGTAAAACCAAGTTGATCTTTGGAAAGAAACTGTTATAATCAATCAGACTATTAGAATTCTGAAAAAAATAATTAAAGAAAAGATTACATGTCAGAGAATATGTAAATCAGAAGTATGGTTGTATTTATCTTTCTAGTCTAAGAACTTAGTAAAGCTTGAATTGAATACCAAAGTAGTAAAAATATGTTGTGAAGTAAGTACCAGGGTTGGAATAAACTCTACAAGGACATAGCAGTTTAATGGTATTCCCTAACTACATGTGTTAATTTTGATCATAGCTTTACCAGATTAGCTGTAAGAATGAAATATAGAAGATTCTGAAAGGTTTAGTTATTTCATAAATGCACATTTTTCTTATATTACAGTATTTTCATATAGTGTATATTGATTGTCTTCTAAAGCTACAGTTGGTTTTTGCAACAATTTTTTTGTTAGTGAAATGTTTGAAAAGGACTCTAAAACTCCTTCATGTTTCTTTCTCATAGAAATTTTAATAAAAAGTTGCTACTAAGCTAGCACTACTTAATTAGAAATTATTTTTAAAGGAAGTGTTCTAACATTTTAACGAAGCGATCTATACAAATTTGCTGTTCTTTTGGTATGTAACACTTGATTTCTTAAAAAGCACTTTAAGCTCATAAATAAGTTACCGGGCAATTGATTTATATCAGCCAATCAGACGAATTTCTTCTCATGAGTCACCATCTGGAAAATAGTCGAATAATTTTTCTTATTGGTATTGTTCTTCATTAAGATCCGATTGTATTATTGTATAATATAGGTAATCGCGCAACTCTAGCATATACTCGGGTATAAGTCAGGATTATTATTAAAGATCGAATTTCTGTATACTTGAATTGTACCCTCCACCTTACACGGCATATCTCGAGTACAAATAAAATTAATTAGGATGATTCTGGTTTAAGCGCTGGATACTAGATTCAGCACACCACGATAGGTAAAGTTCATTCTTTTGGCTCTAACCCCATTTTAATAATAGTTGGCTTTACTATCGTGACTTAATTTAGCAAGTTTTGATAATGAATGGATGAATGATCTCCAATTCCATTTTCAGAAACAATATTAATCAGATGTTCGATGATAAACTTATTGCCCACACTTATTTAGTTTTATATCAAGATTATGATGATATTTCATTAAAAAACTTTTTGCACCTTAAAATTTAACAATATATGCGTCTTGCGCACAGATGTTTCAAAATTATAGACTCAATGCGCTCATTAAAAATTCTTAAATTCATATATTTTTAATCTTTGATGTGCGCTATATTTATTATGAAGCTAACTTGTTAACTAATCATGATACGAACATTGAAATTAATTTATATATTTAAATATTTATTGATATCAAACTTTCATCAACTTTAAAAATAGATAAAATGAAGGTATATAATAAATGATTGTTCTACTTATTTGGACTTTTTTCTTTTGCGCACACTTAAAAAAAATTATATGTGCGCCTCAGCGCACCAGGATTTATATGTAATGTGTGGCCCGCCCACGTTCTTGATGCTGAGTTATAGACACTGACTTCAAGGTCACGGACATTAACCAAAAATACCTGATTCGTATGTGTACAAGCGAAGACAAAGTTTCCACTTGTAATAATACTAATTATTTTTATTATTAAGGGACAGTCCGCAGCTAAAAGGTATAAAGATACGGCGGAGTTTTACTATATATAACTTTCATATAATGATAGAATGCAAACATTTTTAAGAAAAATCATATAGTAAAAAAAGAAAAAACACTTAATATCTTGTGATTTATATTATCAATAGAATCGTAATAACAGGTTCTACAATTTTAATTAAGGTTCAAAAGGTGTTTACTTTTCATTGTAGTGAATTGGCATTCCATTACCATAAAAAATTTATAATAAGCTCCGACTATGATACTTAGTAATGTTTATGCCCTTTAACTGCGAATTACCCTTAATATTTATTTATTTATTGTCACAATCACTCTATTAGTAAAATGAATTCTTCTTTTATCCTGTATGAGATTTTAGTTATCAATATCTCAAACTATCAGAACTGCGTGAAAGCTAAGAGTTGGAACCGGCTGGAAATCTTTATTATGGACTACACAAGTAATTACTCTAATGTTCCAATATCTAGTCAAAAGTGTCAGTACTAATAATATATTAAAGATTTGATACACCTATACCGTAGTTTGTATTGTGCGTAATATGTAAGTGTAAGTGTAATGTGTAAAAGGTTCACAACATGAACAACAAATAAACGATTATTTTGACACTTATAAATTAACATATATACTGATATAAAGCAAGGTACAACTTACCGAAGAGCACCTTATATGAATAAAATAAATTCTTCCGAGATTTGTAAATTCTGCGGTGACGTATAAATAATATGTACTTTAAAACAATAGTATTATGATCTGTTGTATTTTATTATTCTCCCTTGCTGCTGAGCAAGTAGGACCGCGCCAAAGCAGGATGCTATTCAGTCATCACAGGGTTTGTTTGTTACTCAACAAAAGTATGACTAGATATCGTGTTTATTGTAACTCTAAGAACATTCATATGAATTAATGTTTGCTCAAATATTTATCAGCGTGAAACAATTGTGTAAAGCCATAACTAGAATCGAGTAATGAAACGATGGGTTTGGTGCGTAAGTAATCAGTAAATTTTGATTGGAAATATTGCAAATATCGGAAATAAGCATATCAGATCCAGGAGATACTTACTATCTTTAATTTTGTTTCTTCTTCAGCTCATGAAAGTACAATACCATCCATAGAATCTTTTGCTAACATTTTTATGCATATGTGGATATAATACATAGAAAAAATAACGTATCCAAGCATCTTTGTTAACTTACCTACATATATGCGTACGATCTAACATAAGACTCATTTAGCATACAAGCATGCTTAAAGGCAAACAGATATACGGTATTACATATATCCGATAGTATTAAAGCAATCTTATTAATTTTTCATTGTACATGAAAAGTAATTGGATCATAATGTTTTCGAAATAAAATTAATTTATAAAATTAATTTACTAATAAGGGAACACAAATATAAACACACGAATCAATGACAAAGTATCATGTGTGTTAACAAATTCTAAGGATCAACGAGAATCGATAGTATGTTTAAGGATGTAATGTAACAATGTAATAAATATGTAATACTGTAACTATTTCTAATTTCTACGATTTTTACTATTCATAAAATGTATTTTCGAAGAATTAGATGAAGAATTAGGTACATATGGAGTAAACATAAAGCATACGTATTATAATTTAATGTTAATCACAGTTTATTTATATACTGATACTCTATCGGTATTTTATACATATATTCCTTTATAATAATTATTTTTCCTTGCGAATAATACAAACATATTGTAAACTTTCAACTCTCCACAAAGGATCTCTACCACGTTCGGCTCTACACAATCCAAAAGGCCTCTTTTGGCCTTTTTGAGGTTCAATTTCATTTACTTCCTTAACCTTTTTTATCAAACTTTTTAAATGCTCAATTTCAAATTTGTCCTTATTATTCTTTACAAATCCACCATCCAAACTCATTACAGCCACCTCAGCCAAACTTTTAGCATAATAAAATGTAGAAAGTTTATGGGATTCTACTTTCGGACATGATTTTCCATCTGAGTTTAACTTGTTAACGATATCTCCATTATATAATAGATCTTCTCGTGCTTTAGCAATTTTTTTAATGTTATTTTGATGTGTTGTATCTTTAATATAGTCAAAATTGATCTGAGAAAATTTACTCTCGAGATCCAAGTAGGTAATGAATATAGCACCACCAGGTCTCAGCTGACCATAAAGAAATTTGACGAAATCAGTGATATCTTTCTGTGGATCAATACTTCGTTCGCTATAATCAGTTCTGTTATTAAATAATAAACATTCTTATTGATAAATAATAATATTAAAAGGATAACTGTAATAATAATTGTTAATAAAATATCTCTAAATGTACTCACAAAAAGCATAGGTCCATACACATGATAAAATCAACCTTTGTATCTAAGGATTTCTGATAGTATTCTTTAACCTTTCCATTATAAGATTTTACGAATTTTAAATGAGCATAATTTTTCACCGTCTGTTTATATGAATTTATAAATTCCGGATTTGATTCTATCAAATACAAATTATTTTCTTTCGAATTCCTTAAAGTTAATTCTAATTCTTGCGCAAGAAACCAGTCTACCTGAGTACCTTTACCAGGCATGACATCTAAAATATTAAATTCTTTACAACCCTCATTCATTAAGTTAATAACTCCACGTAATACATTTTGAATTAAAGGAATCAAAGACTCGCGAACATCAGATCCTAAAAAATCAGTTGGTGATTTTGCAACAGTTACATTGCGCTTTAAAGCAAATATACGTTGCTGAACAAGTTCGTGAACATCTTCATTCTTGACCTTTCCAAACTCGTTAATAACATCTTCTTCTACCTTTTTTTCTTGGTCGGTCCCAACATTATTACCGACTGGATTATTCATTGCCAACCGGTTTGAATATTTGAAAAAGAGTTTAATTAGATATGATACTATAATCTAAAATAATTTTATACTATTTTTACGTGCACAAGAAATCAGCTGGTTACAAAACTTTTCTGTTTTAAGAAATTGTGAGAAAATGTAGACTTAATAATACCAAATCTTTTTTTTGCCGTCCGCCAACCCACAGCATGCATAATTGTGCAACACGAAAAAAAAAAAGATTAAATTATCACGTAATAGTACTACATGTACGCCTGATTAATCAATATTTGTAAACTTTTATAATCGGCTGACTACTTTACAGCGTAACTAATTCAAATTTGGTTAAATTCCTATGCACCTTCCTTACATAGAACCTTCCTACCGGAAAAACTGATATTGAAGATATTCTAATCGGGAAGATGCTAAGATTCCGGAGATTATAACTCCTCTAAATTATAAATATCTGGAGTTTTGTTTTTACTTTTTCTTTGCACTTGCCATTACCTATTCTTTAAAAAAATGACAAAATCAAAGAAAAATGTAACGAAATAAAAAAAAAACAAACTATAATTAACAAGGCTGTACTTGTTATAAAAGTGCCCGAGGGCATACTGTTAAGAAAGTAAAAAAAAAAAAAAAAAAAAAAAAAAAAAAAACCAAAAAAAAAAACCAAGGATTTTCTATATTGGTATCGCAAGCGAAAACCAGGAATTGTGAGTTTCCGAAATTATCTTTACAGTTCAAACCTCGAAAAATGTGATTTAACACGTCATATAATATATATTTAAATTTACCACAGAAAGCGGAGTCGGCAAAACTCCAAATTGCAAGTTTTCGCTTTGTGACATCTATACGAAACATTACTCCTTCGGCATGACGAAAAACATTCCTTCTTCGGCATGACGAAAAACATTCCTTCTTTCCTTATGATAAGAAACGTTACTCAATTTAAATTTGAGTAATTGAATTATTATCGGGGTTAGTTTAATCAACTATGCTTATTATAATTCGTATCAAATTTTATGCAATATTAATCTTTCCAATTTTCATAGGTTATACTCGATTATCTAACTACTCCGGTCCGGCAGTGGGCCCCCGGGCGCCGGATATATTCTTCGCCGGGGCTGGTGCCGGGTTTTTAACTGGCGATTACGGAAATTGTTTTTACCACTGTTAAGAAATAAAGCACAAATGCTGCTGTAAAATATAAGAATTTTAAGATTGTGATAATAAAAAAAATTTTTTTTAATTTAATTTATATATCGAAATAAATTAATTTTCATGATAAGCATTGGAGGTCTTTGCAAACAAAATGATTCTTCGGAATTATAGTTCCGAAAGATTATTTTATTAGCAAAGATTCGTCTGTCAAAAAAAAAAAAAAAAAAACCAAACCGGAAAACCCGTTTCTTCAGAGCTGTTCTAGTTGAAATTTAAAATCTGCTAAAACCATTTAAGTTTTGATTTCTAGTTTCAAGCTGAAATATGCTGGTGCAATTAGAAAAATTTTAGTCGGTTTTTAACACTATTTCAGCTACGTTGTGGGACCCGGATGGACCCTGACCGCTTGGGGCCATATCCCAATTAGGAAAAGATCGATCGCATCTATCGCATCCGTCGTATGCGACCGATAGGTCGCATCAGTCACATCGGTCGCATATGACGGATATGACGGATAGCAGCGATCGGTCAGAATGGGCTTTTAGGTAGC